GTTCTATATCAGCTATAAACTGACATTTTTTTAAGCATATCACCCCAAGCAAGGCGTGAAGCCACTAGCACGCAAGGGGTTACAGAGAGTTGGAGCGAGAGCAAAGAGGAGTGATAGAGGAAAGGATGAAGAGAAGGATAGGGGATAGAGCAATTGTAAGGCCGCCTGACGATTGCGTCTAGCATGTAACAGCCTGTCGCCTCTGATTGTTGACTTCAATGCTCACTTTATATTTATATTACATATTACTTGTCTCTGATATTGAGTACTTTATCCCATAAATATAGCACGACTTTGAAATTAAATTTTCATTTCTTCAAAAATTACATTTCTTCACACACATATATATATATATATATATATATATATATATATATATATATATATATATATACTAACATTTCATTATATATATATATATATATATATATATATATATATATATATAATGATTTTAAATCTATTTATCCTATTCTGTTGTAATTAAAAACAAACTTAAAGCTTCAATCATATTTAAAAAATTTAAATACATTTTTATTTTAGTGATCAGTTTTTTGTTTTTTTACTTAAAAATGAATAAGAAAAGAATTTTTTAAGTATTGATCAATATTCATTCATTCCAAAATTTTAGACGTTCCAATACAAATAGTTTAGAATTTTAATAAGAATAAAGGTTATAGATAGAGAATTATCTTTATAGATTTAAGAACCTGTCCGAGTGGGAATTATTCATATCATTTCAATTTATTCAAATATAAAATTTTTCTGTATAACAAAGAAACGGATGACTGGTTTAGATGGATAGATAGATAGATAGATAGATAGGATAGATATTTCTATCACGATTAGATAGATAGAATAGATAGGAATAGATGGATGAATGGATGAAAATAGATAGATAGGATAAAATATTTAAAATGATAGATGACATAGATAGATGGATAGATAGATGATAGAATTTTTAAGATGGATGGATGAGATAGATAGATAGATAGATAGATAGATAGATAGATAGATGGATGGATAGATATGAACAGACTGAAATAGATGGATGGATGATATGGATAGATAGATAGATAGACAGATAGATAGATAGATAGATAGATAGGATGAATAGATAGATATATAGATAGATAGATAGATAGATAGATAGATAGATAGATAGGATATGAACAGAGTGAGATAGATAGATAGATAGATAGATAGATAGATAGATAGGATAGATGAACAGAGAGATAGATAGATAGATAGATAGATAGATAGATATAGATAGATAGATAGATATGAACAGAGTGAGATAGATAGATAGATAGATAGATAGATAGATAGATAGATAGATATGAACAGAGTGAGATAGATAGATAGATAGATAGATAGATAGATAGATAGATAGATAGATAGATAGATAGATAGATTCCTATCTTTCCTTTCAAAGTCGCAAAGATTTTTACTTTTTAGGTGATCTTTTTCGGTGTTTGTTGAAATCCAATTCCTCCTGATCTGTATTATTGCTACTGCTCACCCTATACAAGGCCCAAGACTCCCTCAAGGGAGAGGGATATTATATGTTATTGTATCAGTATAAGAGAAAGCAAGAATTGTACTTTATAAGGTTATGTAGGAAAGATAACGGTTAATCATAGAAGAGGCTAAAGTTGTAGTGATCGAGAAAGCATTCTTATGGGTGTTTGTTAAAGAAAGCAGTAGGTTTTGGGAAGAAGCTGTCCTAGTGGAACTTACTTCTTACTAATGGAATACGAAGGGAACGGGTAGGATTTCTCGTCGTCTACGTAACATGATGGTCCGAGTTACAAAGGTCAGGGTCGGCGGTACCAAAGAATGGAGCTCGTCAGAAGATCTGCCATCGAAATAGCGATGGAATAACGAGGAGGAAGCAACGTTTCGTCTGTAAGAAAACTGGCTGTAGGGTAGAAAATAATTAGACGACTGAAATAATTTAACTGACTGAAACAGATATATTGTTTGGTCAACGTCGGCCAGCAGTACATACGCTAATTTTATATCTCGTGTATGATGCGAACCCCACCTCCCACTTAAAATTAGCTTCAAAGTTAGTTCTTCAAAAGTTGTATATTACTCGAGTATATACAGTAAATTAGCAGAGAGACCTGCAAAGAAATTAGAGGCACATGCAATGGAATTAGTAGAAAGCCTTGTAACAGATTTAGTAGAGAGACATTTTTTTTTTTAAGCATTGTTCCCCAAGCAAGGCGTGAAGCCACTAGGATGCAGGGTGTTGCGGAAGATTTGGAGCGAGAGCAGATAAGAGTGATAGGAGAAAGGAAGAGGAGAAGGATAGTGGGTAGATCAAGGTAATTGGAGATGTCGATTGACATTACATTTGAATAGTTGAAGATTATAGCTTTCAGGGAAACAGTAATTGGGGAGGGTGTTCCACTGGCGAGATGTGCGAGGTATGAAGCTATTGGAGTAGAAGAGACGGCTACATTTGAAGGTTTCTACGGTGTAAGGGTGGGAG